TATGTCTGATATATCAAACTTTACTGTATCCGTTTGCGCTCTTTTTTCACGTCGCGCGTCGTCAGAAATCAGATTTTGCAATTAAGAGATTTAAGAAAATCTTAATCAAATAATAAAACATTTTGGAAACTTTATAATTTTTCTCCCTAATGATTTTAATGGTTTTAAAGCATTTTCTCTCTCCCTATTCAGATGAAAAGATGACATCTAATGCTTTGCGTCCGAGCCCCTATCACCAGTGGCAATTTCAACGAGTTGGCAACACTGTCAATACTCCCTTTATATCAACTGAATATATATTGATTCTTGGTAAGACTGGCTGCTTCGCCTAGAATCAATTGTTTGACATATATTTAAATGAGGGGACAGGGTTGCCACTTTGGAAGAATCGCCACCACATATCACTTGCTCTTTTCCCGAACACTGCCCCTACAATGACTGATTATAATGAGAATTGTTCATTCTATATTAATTCGCTTATTATTTTCCTTTATTATTTTTTTTTTTTTTACAAGATCCCACTTTTTGGAGCTATCGGAAATGGGACAACATTGGTAAAGATAAATTAGAACTCTTGAAGGATCCTTCATCTGAAAAATTAATGGAACGCGTTGAGAAAGTGAAAATAGAAGATACATGGAACGACATTGGCGTTTACGCCGCTAAAGGAAAGCGATCTAAGATGGAGGATACGTTCATGGCCTACGAAAATGCCGCGGGCACTGGAGCATCGTTTTTCGGGGTTTTTGATGGACACACCGGTACCGTAAGTTTGAAAAACCCATTTATGGATTCATTACAGAGTATTTCGTTCATGAAAATATCATTTTCGCAATACTTGGGAACCTTATGATAGAGGAATATGTTATTACTGAAGCTGATCAAAACAATAGATGTGGCCTGGATCCATGAGGCGATGGTTCATGGGCAAGAATTTTTACTATCAGACTAAAGGAAAAAAATCGGATCGAATGAAAAAATAAGATTCTTTCTGGATTCTTAATTTCAGACTTTTGATGGTTTATGAGGTAGAAAAAACCAGCTTAATGAGGGTAAATTGAATTGCAACACTGCATGCCCTGGTAAAAATTGGTAGTAGAATGTCTGTTCCAAAATACTATGGACCTAAAGCCGGGTGTAAGATTTCCATTAGCCTCTGTAGCCGGCTGTACAATTTCTTATAGCCCTTTATAGCCGATGGCGACTAAGCAACAGCCGGACGTTAAAGTTTATGCGAAACGTTACTAAATACGGATACTAGGACTTAGTTAGTTTTTGGGCTACCGCTCGCTTTTTGTGCCGTAGCATCTTGATTTATTTTGCGAGGAAAGCTCCGTACTTTTGAAGAATGCCTGCCATTCTTAATATGTTGGAGCACCTTCAATTTCTTATGATACTGTGCAATACTTCTGGTGTGAAATAGTTGATTCAGAATTTCAGACGCCGTGGCACGCTGCGGCGCGGCGGGCGGGCAGCCAGCGCGAAAAGCGCATCAGCGTCTACAAACCTAACAGGGATACTTCACGCATTGCGCCATGCGTGAAGTATCCCTGTTAGGTTTGTAGGCGCCAGTGCGTCGCCGCTCTGCTTTGTGTTAGGCTCTAATATTTAATCTCGCGGAGTCAGCGTTTTTCAACTCATGATTTTGAAATGTTTTCACACTCTGTATGGACTATTCTCATTTTAATTGATGAAAAAGAAAATGTTTTAAAGGAAAATATAATGTGTGTTTTGTAAATATTAAGGTAGTTCCGTATCAAACTTAATAATTTTCAAAGCACAAGAATTTCTACACAATTTCTATAAAATGTAAAGCCCGGCGATAGGAACTATAGCCAAACTGTATACTTTTTTATAGCTTCGTATAGCCCGGCTATATGATTTGCTCCGCTTTCTACAGCCAGCTATATGATTTTCAATAGCCTTCTTAAGTCGGCTATAAGAACTCCTATGGTATTTTGAAACGCAGCTCCTGTCGCCAATTTTTACCAGGGTGATTTCTCTGCGGCTTGTATGTTGTGCTTATGCCAAACTTCTCAATCATTACGACACACTAACAATTTCGAGGTACCATTACTGCAATCGTGCTCAATTTTGCGTTCAATTTGATTTGACTTTGATCGGCCACAATCCATCCATCCATTTTTCGGTCGCCATTACTGCCGGTGGTGTTTGATGAGATCGCATCGATCAATAGACGTCGAGATCCACAGAATTGAACCACCGAAAGCGGGGGGGGGGGGGGGGGGGGGCAAAAATGTTGGACCCGAATGCAACCTCAATGTCACTCTCTATTTCCGGTTAGAGTTAATTGCACGAGTCATGCACGAATCTTGATGGATCCAGTAATTAGATCCGACAAAAAGTGTGCCTCTACTTTTAGATGAAATCTCGGGTGGGAAAAGGGTATAAGTGAAGTTGCATATAGGTTTTTCTCTATAAAAATATGTTCGATTTCAATAAAACGTACCGTTTCATGATACTGAGTTAGAGGCTTTCTTACATATATCCCTTGATTATACATTGATAATTTGTAATGGACATTTAGGCAATGAATGGGCCTGTTGCAAACTTCTGCTAGAACAAAACTAAGAGTTGTTCCCTCTAGATGATGTCTCAAAAATCACGATGAGCGCATCGGCAAGCTCTGAAATGCACTTCTAACTTCACAATGTACGTAAGAAATTTGCTTCTTTTAAGATTCCCGCTTCAAAAAGGACACTACAGCACAGGTGAAAATTTCGTTGGAGGAGTCGTTCCATTCAATCCGTTCTCAACATGGCCAACGCTTCCGCGCGCAAGTTGAGCAGAGTCCGAGGTCAATCGAGGCGGATATTTATCAACACGAGAAAAATGTGAATGTAAACACGCCGATTATTATAAGGTGGTTAAAATTATCGTCACATGTGTTTTGGCGGATTGGTGTCGGCTATGCTGTATATTGCGTAGTATCCTTGTGAGCAGAGGTTAGATGGAATGCCTCCTCTAACGAAAAGTTCACCTGTGCCGCAGTATCGATTTTGAAGGGGGAAGCTCGAAAAAACGCAAATTTCTTACGCAAATTGTGAAGGAAAGAGTGCGTTTCAGACTTTGCCAATGCGCTCATCGTGATTTTTGAGACAATTTCTATGAGTAACAACTCTTATTTTTGCTCTAGCGAAAGTTTGCAACAGGCTCATTGTTCAAGGAGGGACCATACATTTTGCCCCTAGATCTCTTCCTTTTGAAACGTTGCACTGATTGCAAAACTATTGACCAAACAGTTTAATGTCCTACAAACTCTTGCTGAACGCTCAATTATACCATGTTTCTTGCTTAACAGTATGCTGCATCCTATGCACGAGACAGGTTGATGAAAAATATTGTCAACCGAGTAGCAGACCTAAAATATTTGATGGGATCACCAATAGAACCGGACCCATTTGCGTCTGAACAAACATGTACGTTTGTATGTTTAATATATAGAGATGCTTTGAATGTTGATTCTTTCTCTACATACAGAGGTAGAATTTCTATGCTTATCGCCAAATTAATTTGACCAAGGACAGCTTTTTAACATATCACAAATTTCCATTCGCAATTGGAGGCAGAGCTGCAAAATTTTACGAAACTTCACAAAATTTCTCACATTAAAAGTTCATGAAATTTTGTGCAATTTCTTGAATACTTTCCGAACTTTTCAAAAGACTCAGTTTACAAACCACGACTCAGATAAACGGTAAGGCCTTAATTATTAATTATTTTTTTTTTTAAAACAAAAATATCAGGAGTCGAATTTCGAAGTTTCATATCGAATTCTCAGACATGATTTCTTGCGGGTAACATGCGCAGTTCCTTAAAAATTTATGGCATTTCATGAGAAATGAAATTTCCTTTTTGATATCAGCAAAATTGACTTAGACATGAAAGAATTTTACTGACTGCTGGATTCTTCATCATTATCGATCCACTGGAAATCTAGTAAGACTACTAGATCTCTGTTAGTGTTAATCTCAGTGGCGAGGCGTGAATAATCGATCATCGATAATGGACCACTAGATAAGGTACGAATTTCAGCATTCTGATACATGTTTCTTAACAAAAATTTTACGTAAAACACGATGCACACAACGAAAATTACCGAAATTAACTCCTTACGAAGATATTTAATGATTCTTAATGCGTGAATTCAAACCACCCGCTCATGAAAACTCAATGCTCTACGTGATTCACGTCGCGCGCTAAACGTTATCATGACAGTCTCTGCGATATAGAAAATCTGGCAACCTCAATCTTGACGCTTTGGCTCAGTTATAGCAAATTGCTAATAGTTTGAACAAGACATGATGGGAAATGAACATTGCTCGATTGAGAAGCTTGCTGAAACCGTTGTAGTGCGCGATTTGACTCACGTAGAGTTTTGAGTTTCTTGTGAGCGGGCAGTTCAAATTCCTCGTAACCAATGTGAAATAAAAACGTTAATATCTTCGTTAGGAGTTGGTTTCCGTAATTTTCGTTGTGTGAATCGTTTTTTACGTGAGATTCTGGTTAAGAAACATGTATCAGATCGCTTAAATTCGTACCCTGTCTAGTGGTCCATTCTGTATTTGTAGATACGGTATAGAGAATCGATTGTTGAGGTGTTCGTTGCGAACACCCTGTTCATCGATCCTTTTCCATATGTTTACATGGCAGGCCAATCAATACCTATATCGCAAAACACGCCACGCCACGGGTTAATCCTGGATCTGGTTACCTACGTCTACCAGCCGTGTGATAATCACTATCAGAAATCTAATACCGGCCACTAAATTTCCTGGAAATGAAAAATAGTCCAGAATGTATTGAGCAATATCTTTTTTTTTACCCATGCAGAACGTTTTAAAACTCCCAGAAATCTAACTATTTGATAAAGGAATAATGAGACTCCGTTAATTCAGAGCAGATAACACAAGCATGAAGTGCAAACACGTCATGTTAAGAACTACATACATATATATTGAGTAAATAAACTTGAAGAGTTCACTTTATGAAGTGTGCGGTATAATAAATTAAATCGCACGACTCTTATGGGTGAGTCAAAACGGTGTCAAAACGAGATTTTAGTTTCGAAAAGATTTAACATGTTTTTCGTCTCTAGCAGTGGTCATTGGCTCAGTAAAGAATGGCTGCCACGAAGCTGACCCAAATCATTGGAGATGGGAGAAACCGAAGAGTGAGTCAAAGAGAAAACGTCGTAAGTGCTGTCTCTTTATTATTCTTAAAAAGTACCCAAGTGAGATATTTTTGCAAGATTTTGCTGGTTGTCGCATGCAAATATCCATTAATATCGTCACTATTTTCAATTATTGAAAATCTTTAAACATTGCTCTCAAAAAAGGGGAAAAAAGAAATAACTTGGATAAAAAATGTCTGTTCCCAGATCAAAATTAAAAGTATGTTAGCGGTTTTCATTTTTCCCAGTTGCACGAATTTCATGCAACAGAGTTTAATATGTGGATTGAATCAGAAATGCAAAAGTGCTAAATTCCCAAATGGCTGTACTTCAATAAAGAGCAGTGGCAGTTAAGTGTCATACAGCACTATTAAAAGCGCTAGCTGTGAAGCGACATGTCTGTATGTATAGTGTTCAACCATCAATATATTTATCAATTGCTATTGCTTATCATCTATCAATTTCTTCAGAGCACATATTCATAACTGCACATTTTACAGTTCATACTATGAAAGACATATTTGATTCGATCATTTGGTACATGCTCACTGAAGTGTATTTTCGCAGACCTCAATCGTTTAAAACCATATCTGGAGGTTGGAGGAATAATCAACTACCAAATGTTTCTAAGAGACGTGTTTAAATCAACAGACCTTGACCTTTGCGCATCTGCACGACGGAGAGAGTCTGAAACAGGTAAAGTTGGTGAAGTACCTAGTAAAGTTAGGTAGAATTAGTAAGCATCTTTGCCAGGTTGCATCGCAAACGCACCCTGTATTTTGAAAAATAACCTCTTACTCAAGTGGCAATTTTCAACGGAAAAATCGCGATATCCTGATATTAATTTACGATATTTGGCTAGAAAATCGCTACGATCGTCAAAATCTGACCGATTATCCTTAATTTTGTTGCAAATTTATCTCTATAAAATTTCATACAATAAAATCGAAATTGTATCTCAATTATCACGATTTTTTGGCACACGGACTTTATGTCCACTTTTTTTACGTCCACAGACTTTTCGTCCACAATTTTTACGTCCACAGTTCTAAAGCCCACACTATTGTTAAGTCCATTACTTAAACGTCCACTAACTTAAGTCCACAAATGTAAAGTCCACTAAAATCAAATTCAAGCGTTGTATTTTAGTCCGTGTGTAAAATTATATTGACAATATCGAAATAAGAAAATTAAGAGAGAATGAGGTGTTGTTATCGTAACTCATATTTTAAATGAAATGTTAATTTCTTCTTTTGATTAGTCTTTTCAAATTGTCTCTGGTAAATACTTGCTTTCATTTCTATGCTTGCAATTTCCGATGTAAAATATGCCTTAAGTGTACATTCTTTTTTTTTAATGAAATTGATTACTTCATTTTAAAAACATTCATATTTTTAAAACGTGGTAAATATTTGTAAAACCTTTTCCAAGCAATGGAATCGATATGAATCTCAATGAGCCGTAGTTGCGATGAAAGAAACTATACTAAACTTAATAAAAGAGGAAAAAAACTCAGAAGCACGCAATTTTTTGTTTTTGACTTATTTGTACATCGACCTCCTTGAGTCAAATACGTCCAATTTTGAGCGTTTGGTTGCGCTTACACCACGCTGCAGCACAGTAAAAGCCCAAAACATAAAAGAATAAATTTGAAT